AACGCTTTGCTGGGAGAAGGAAGCAGTTCCCCAGTTTTTTCCCGGGGTGCTTCTTCCATGGCGTTCTGTGTGTGATACATACCACGCGGTGTCAGGTTTCCTCCCAGAATGTGTTCAGACTCTCTTCACGTTTGGGTCTGAAGGAAAACTTGCTGTAGATTATGGTGCCGTGTTTTTTTTTGTGGTTTGCAAATGTGCTCAATGAAGCCAGCCTCCCATCTCCAGAAACGGGATTTCCTGTAAAAACAAACACCCTTGGCTGTTGACTCTTAGTCATTGTTTTTTTTGTTTTTTTTGTTTTATTTCCCTGCAGCCGCCGATGGTTTGGGGAGTATAGCGATAGACACAACCCAGCTCAACATGTCCATGACAGATCCCACAGCCTGGGCCACCGCCATGAATAACTTGGGCATGGTGCCCGTGGGGTTGCCTGGACAGCAGCTTGTGTCTGGTAAGCTTTCTCCTGGGTCTGACGACGCTGGCAGCCGTGCCAAAGGGGGTGGGCGACAGGTGCCCAGTAATCTCTCCACACGCAAGTGTCGAACATGGTCTGTGATTTAGGACTGGAGCATGCTTGGCAGGCTATGCTTCAGATCCTTTTCCTCACCACCGTGCCCTTCTGCCTAAGAGCTGTTCTCAGAAAAAGAGCCACATGCAATGTCCCTCGTCGGCAGCAGTGCGACGTCAACTTCGTATTTTAAATCAGTAAAGAGAGGGCTCATACCTGCTTTCCCATTGGCAAAACTCTCTCACGTACATGACGCCGTTTGATTCCACAGTCTTCTCTTTGAGACAGGCGGACACTTGTTGTCACTCTTGTTCGTATTCCCATTGTAAAAGCAGAGAGCCAGAGTTCAGGTGACTTTTCCAGCGCCTTGTCTTTCCGCCACACCTTGGAATCATGATATGATGCATTCGGTAGGGAAGATGTTTGGCAGTGTCGCAAAGTAGAAGCCCATCATTTAATTTAATACCTGTTTTTGCGATTTTTCCATGCGCCCTGTAACAAGAGCTTTGGGAGATATGTACATACATAAGTATCCTTGAGGAGCGTGTCTCCCTAAATTGAAAAGCCCAGCAGTAAAGATGATGCGTAGAATCGGGTGTTAGGTAGTGGTTCAGGTTAGCAGTGTAGTACTTTCCAGAAGGATCCATTCCTGGGGCTCTGAGGGAAGATGTTATCAGAGAGATGGGCCTTGAGCTGCCCGGAAGGACGTGTGGGGTTTTCAGTATTCACTCGCTCGCTCACTCACTCACCACATATTTATGGAGATGCGGTCTCAATACAGTGACTCCGGTCCCTGCCATTCCAGAATGCGCATGGCGACGTGACAGTCAGTTTTTATACAAGTTCCACCCCCACGGGCCTGTGTGCTTTATGCCGAGTTGACCGAGCATTTGGTTTCTTTCTTTCTTTTTAATTTTTTCTGTCAATAGTGTTCATAGATGCGCAAGTCTAAACTAGCTGTGGTAAATTACATGTAATTCGTGTGTGTGTGTGTCCATATATACAAACACGTGTGTGTACACACGCATGCATATAGAAAAGTGTAGATAGTTCTTTTTTAATATAACTTGGAAGAACATGAGAGAGGCTAGGAGGCCGGGGGACATGGGAGACGGGACAAGGAAAGTCGAAGATTGAGCTGTGAAACATACTTAGGATATTTAGGAAATTCTGCAAAATGTCGTCGAATTCATACAATCGAAGCTTAGTCTGCTACAGGACATATGTGTATGTACATGAATGAGATTCTCTAGGGTTCGAACGTGTATTTATCCAGACCCCTTCTCCCTAAAGCGAATCTAGACGGATACTTCTTTCCGACAACTTGAGAGCGAAGACTTGTATTTCTTCACTCACATTTTCTCGGCTGCCTAATTGAAATATTCACATGGCAGAAATTACTCTCGTCTCTAACTCCCATTTCTCTCAAAAAGTGTCATGTGACTTCCAGAGTAAGCCACACCTCAACAATCCATTATTTTTTTTCTTATTCTTTTGAGGCTTCTGACATTTTTAACCATGACCGATATATGATTTTCTCACCAACTTACCATGAAAAGAATTACAGCCTTACTCATTGTAGAAAATGTACCGTATCTGCCCCGAATTACGTTCTCTATCTCCTGTGTTAGCCAAACTGCGTACACTGAATTTTAAGCCCCTAAGGGTCTCCTTGGTGACCCTTCTTCATTTCCCGCTCTGCCAATTGAATTGCACTTTGCATTGTTCTGGGGCTGCCAGCCAACTCCTTGACACTATCTCACGGTCAGGTTCTGTTTTATTCAACTGGTGTTTCTGTATTTTCTTACAGTCTTTTTTTTTTCCGTGCAAACATTTTAATCGTATTAAATATAAGATTTTCTATTACACATCTTTAGCACCTTATTCTAAATTGTTTTTCCATTTTATCGTTGTATATTAAAGCATCATAAATCCTCCGTCGACTGAATCTTTCCTAGCTTACTGAAGCATTCCAGTTTTATATGTAGGCTGTTTGCATTTTCTCACTCTTACTGGCCAAGTGTCTTTGGCGAACTTACTCTCTTTGAGCATGGAAAAAAGCATTTCACCTTTCCTCGAAAATGATGATTGCACCTCTTTCACGGGCCCGTTGTCAGATGTGACTATGATGACTTCCATAAAACACTGCTGTCTGTCCCTTCCCAGCATAGCCAGAGAGCCAAGAAACCATCGCTTCTCCGACGGTTTCCACGCGGGCTCCCTCTGGAATTCTCCAGTGCGGCCATCAGATGTTAGGAGAGAGTCTCGAACGTCTCAGGAGGGATTCAAAGATTATTTTGTGTCGCCCTCCTTCCAAGGAATCTCGAAAACTAATCTCTGGCGGGATTAGGGAGAGGCTAGATTTTATGAGCACTTGGCTTTCTCCAAACATGTCTGGTATTTTTTAAATGACCAACTAACTCTTCCCATGTTTGTTAAAAGTAAGCCGACGCTGAGTCCCATGCCTGACACCTTCTTCTGTTCTTTAAAATTAGCCGCCGAGCAAGGCAGATGTCCCAGGAGGCAGACCACGTCCCACGTGCCTTTCTGGCGTGTAGCGCGACCCCCCCAGTCACGCCTCTCCCACCTTCTTCCCACTTCCTCACCCACGTGCGCCTCGCCGCAGCCGCGTGCCGACCCTCCCGCACGCCCCTCTTAACCTTCCTCGGCACCAAGGGCACCTCGAGACCATTACATGTAATTTGTTCCTTTTATCCAAAATATATCACATCGTTATACGCTAGCCCTGAGTCACGTCTTCCAAAGTCTTTGTTTGCGAGATAACATTCACCTCCATGTGATTATGTCCTATTTGTTTTATTCCCCATAATTTTAGTTTTGTGGATTTGTTGTTGTTGTTGTCGTTGTTACAGATTTGTTCTTATTATCCAGATTTTGTGCATTAGTACAGATCCAGGATTTTCTAAACTGGTCTGTGGGAGCATCAGTGTGCCCGAGTTGTTGTTCAGTGGGGTGTGTGTCATACAGGTATTTACATGGCCCGACAATCATGATAAAGTCTGGGTTTAACTCAGAAGGTTGCTTCTTTCATGAGTTTCCTTAGAGCGTTTGCTACGCTAACATGCAACATGCAATTTCAAAGAGTGGTGTCTAGTACACAGGATTCCCCAAACTTGATTTAGCTTTTTAAAAAAATATCTGTTAGTATCTCAGGAGACACTAGCATAGAGCCATCTATACCAAACTTTTTCCATCAGCTGCGGAGACCCTTTTCTGCCCATCTTTGCCACATATGATACCTTCCCTGGGATCTAGTTTACAATTTTGTTTGTTTGTGCCTTCGCTAAAAACAGTGTGACTCCCTGACCTCAAGTCTCAAAATGATTCTCTTGTGGTCAGGTGTTGCCCGAGGCCTTCCCAGTTGTCTGTGATACTCATCGTCACTTTCCAGGAGCCCCCACCTCTGGTGTCATCAGCCGAAATCCAGAATATCAAATCTCAAGCTTTGATACCATCTGTGTGACCAGCTGCTCCCTCCCCATGTCCCCTGGCTTCTTTTCCAGAGTTATAATCATCAACTGGAAGAGTTGAAAACCAGCAGCTGAGGTCCCAGGTTTCAAATTTCTTGCCTGGGCCCTCACGGGGACGGGTAATACTCCCTGGACATGCTCTGGCCATGAGATTTGACTTTGCTTTCTTCTAAACATTTTTTTTTTTTTTTGAGAAAAACTAAGATCTATTAAAAGTACATTTTAGAAGGAGACGGGCCATGTTAGGGAAGGCTGCAGCCCTGTGGAGTCTGGGAGGCGAAGAGATGAGACAGTACATCCCAGGAGGAGTGGATTTTCAGCCAAGAGAGCTGTAACCTCTTCTAAACTTTTTGAAATTCCCTTTCCTAATGTCTCGAGTCTCTCCTTAGCTGTTATGGACTTTGACATGTAGGTTTCACCCCAAGTTTCTTAGCATGCCATTTGCCGTATTTCGAATACACGTTCCGAAAAAGCATCACACCCCACTATTAGCTATGAAAGGGTCATACACAAGACAGTGCCACATGCCCCCTCGGGGATGAACTCGGAGTCCATAAAAGAATGTCGTGGCTCATAAGTATCTGTGAACACTCTGCGTTGTTTCTTGGCTTATCCTTTGCCGTCTCCTCTTCAGAAGCTCTGAGCTTACTGTCACCACCTCTGTTCCCTGCCACTCTGAGAAGACCTTAGCTTTCAGACTCGTGGGGAGGCTAAGGCAGGTTACGGTCCCCTATCTGCTTTCTCGTTCGCCGATGCATCCACCCATTTTAATTCCTCTCTGCTCCCTCAAATACCCTTTTTCCCCCCTTTTTTTCTCCCCCGTCTTGAGTCGTATAATCCTCCCAGGAACACCTTTATCCTCTTTAATATGCCCAGATTTGAAGAGGCGTTTTGTGAAATCCTTTCATCTCCTGAAGCATCACTCAGTTAACCGGGATTTACGGAGCCAGACACTGTGCCGAATACTGGGAATACGAGACATAGACCGGCCTCTCGTGCTCGAGAGCCCAGCGGGAGACACGGAGAGGAGTAAATAAAGCCCGTACCAATCGGCATGATAAGTGGGTCTGCTGCTAACAGATAAAGGGTGCTGTAGGATGTCGCTGAAGAGTGTTGGGCGGGGGAGCAGTATGATGAGGGTCGCGTTTTCACAGAGCACTCCTGTAGGCCCTGTGGATCCCTGATGGGGGCGTGGGCGGCGGAGCGCTGGGGTCGCAGTTACTCAGATAAGAGATCATCGTGGCAGTAATGACCATGGCGATGGAGAAGGAGGGAAGAGAAGGGGCCCGTGAGACAGTAATTGTAGAAACCACAGGAATTCATGTTAGGGGCGGGGAGTGTCCACCGTGACTCCTGGATTCCGAGCTCTGGGAGCCGTGTCCGTGGCGGGGCCATGTCCCGAGGTGGGGAAGGCTGGGACAGGACGCGGAGCGTGATGGCGAGCTTCCTTTC